CTTGAGCCCAGAAGTCTGAGGTTGCAATGAGCTATGCACTCTAGCCTGGGCAACAGAGAGAGACTCTGTCTCAAAAAAAAAAAAATCTAACAGGTTAGAGTTACAAGAAAAATAAAAAACAATACAGTATAACAACTATTTACTTAGCATTTACATTGTATTAGGTATTGTAAATAATCTAAAGATGATTAATGTATATAGGAAGATGTGCGTAGGTTATATGCAAATACTACACCATTTTATATAAGGGACTTGAGCATCCGCAGATTTTAGTATCCTTGGGAAGGTACTAGAACAAATCCCCTGCGGATACCGAGGGATGACTATACAAGACTGGTGTCAGGATGGTTCAGGATTGGAGAGAGAGTCTTGGGAGTTATCAGCTTTAAGGTCATTTTAAAAAACACTATGACACTCTGAGAGAGACATGGATCTTGCCCCCAAGGGGTTTGCAGGCTAGAAGGAAAGAGAAAATTTGCAGACTAGAAAGTGATAATATGGAATGATAGGAACACATGGGGAAGTGGATTATTCAGCTTGGTTAGAATCTAGATGTAAAGCTTATTGGTTTTCCTTTTAAAGCAGCGGTCCGCAGCCTTTTTGGCACCAGGGACCGGTTTCATGGAAGACAATTTTTCCACAGATGGGGTGAGGGTACGTGAGGGGGCAGGGCTCAGGCAGTGATGAGAGCGATGGGGAGCAGCTGTAAATATGCTTGCGTGCTCACTTGCTCGCTTGCCTGCTGCTCTCCTTCTGCTGTGCCCCCACTTCCTAAATTTCTTGGAAGACAGTTTTTCCACGTGGTGGGGGTGGTGGGGCAGCTTTGCAGCCCCGTCTCCAACAGGCCACGGACCATCTGCGGCCTGGGAGTTAGGGACCGCAGTTTTAAAAGATAGCAAAAGATGCAAAGGACAATTTAACCTTGAGACCATTTTATCCAATGATAGCAACGTATTAAGCCTGCTGAAAAGAGAGGGTAAAAGTTAACCCTGGAATTATTGCCTTTTCCTTCCTCATATTGTGTATCTAATTTATTACCATGACCTGTTATTTTTCTTCACAATTCACTCTCAGATTTGCCCTGTTCTCTTTCTTATTACTGCTGCCACCTCAAGCTAAATCTTTCTTCCTTTACTCCCCTGGTATCTCTCACTCTAAAATATTCTCCATACTATTTTAATCTAATATCTTAAATATTCCTATCTTACCTGTCCAACCTTATTCTTCACTATTCTCCATAATCCTGTTTGCATCACTAAATTGTAAAATGCATGGTACCTGTGATTAGTCAAAACTAATCTGAAAAACAACAAAACCCAACCATCTGAATTGGTCCTTTCAAATGGCTGGTTATGGAATGTGTACGGGTGACAAATTTTATCTTGCTTAGATAGAAGCAGGAAAGTTCTAAACCTTTTGACCTCATGCTCCAAGATTTATCATCCTTTTATAATTGGGAATATTATGAGATGAGCTTTGAATCCCTGCAGAAATCCAGATATTTGTGTAGCTGAGTATCATGGGTCTATGTGATCCTCCAGAATAACTGGAGGTCTCCACGAGTTGATTCTGTATCTGGTCTGTGAAAACTTTTGAAAACAATTAAACCCGTATGTTTTCCTGGGTACAACAAAAACTTCAGGAGTTCCACAACAGATACTTTATGTCTAGGTTTTAGTTTTTAAATTCTATATAAGAATTTTTAATGAGTATATTTCTTACTCACTATCCATAAGACATCAATCTAAAATGGTGATGTTTTCCCTTCCTACCAGGTTTTTGCTGCAGAGGGTTTAAAGCTTACTTCAAGTGTACAAGCTTTTTCAAAACAGGTAACGTGTATACTGGCCTGGTGCTGGTGGTGATGTCATGTATACCCACTTTGGGGGTATATTATTAAGGTATAAAGGTATTTAAGTTGTAGAAGATGGAGTTTTGTTGGGGTTGTTTTAACTTTCTAAATTACATTTCAGCTGAAAGATGATGACAAGCTTATGCTTCTCTTGGAAATAAACAAGCTAATTCCTCTATGCCACCAGCTTCAGACAATAACTAAGACATCTTTGCAGAATAAAGCATTTCTAAAGGTAAAAGAGAGGCAGGGTTATTCAGGTAAACACTTGAGAAACTTTCACGCTTTTATCAGGTTAGCTCCAGCCTCTTTTTCTTTAACTGAAGTTATTATTACCCATAGAAGGACAATATATTTCCATTTTTCATGGATTGTCTGCAAGACTCATTAAATTTTTAAAATTTTTTTAACAACGAATTCTTGTCCAAAAGAATCATTTATTATCTGCTATTATAAATGACCCCAGGGAGCAGCAGGTTCACCAAATAGATTAGCTTTTTGGACAGGAGCACATTGAGAAGCTACCCTTAAATCCCGAGTCTTTACCTAACTAGGGCGCAAATGCCTCTGAATCTGGGTTCCCATAATTTGTCTCAGGGAATATGGCCTTATGCCCACAAAACAGAGTGTAAGGAATTGCAAAGGAAGGGATTCACTGCCACTATTTGGATTGTTTTGAAAGCCCTCAAACAGCCTGAAGTAGAACGGTTGATATTCCACCTATTCTTCCTGAAGTTTTGTGAAACAGGCATGAGACCTGGGCAGTAACCCCTGCACCTGTGTTCTGGGCCCTCAAGGCAGCACATGTACCCTAATCTATATACCTTTCAGGATCCCTTAGATTTCCATGGTGGAGAAATTTTATAATTTTAAAATTAAATAAATAACTTTTTTTTTTAAATACTACTTTTAGAATATGATTTGCATGCTCTCTGTCACTGTAGGTTGACAAGTGTATTATAAAGACAAGATCCATCATGGCTCTCTTGGTCCAACTTCTTTCGCTTTGCTATAAACTGTTAAAGAAGGTGAGATAGCTTTTCTATTTTAAACTCACTTTTTTTTTTATTAAAGGAAAATGCAAAAGAAAATAATTACTGCTTGATTTTGCACTTTTTTTCAGAGTAAGCAGAAACTAATTGTCTTAACTTTTTCCAGCTTCCTGTGGAAAATAACAGATGGGTCTCAGTTACAAATAAAGACACCATAGACGGTAAAACTTGAGAAGATTTTGGGGTCGGATCTCTGGAACATCATGTAGCATTGCTAACATTTTTAAAAAGCAAATGATCCTTTATCATTTCAGAAATTCAAAAATTTATAAAGAAAACAATACTGAAATTTTGCTTTATTTTCTGATCATGAAACCTCTTGTGAAGCTTTTTGACAACTAATAAATGTCATAATAGTTGCTAATTGCAGTGATTTTTAAAATGGAATGTTGCACTAATGTTCTTTAAAAGTCAAACCAAATATTCCAACTGTCTTAATGACAGTTTAATCCAAAGAAGATACCTTGAATATGTACTCACCTTTGGCATATTTGACCTTAACTCTTTTCTTTATTTAAGCCTATCATCTAGGACACTAATTTCGGCAGAAAATGTACAGAAGTCTGGGTGAACTCCTTAAACCTGTGGATTCTTCTTCAATCTTTCTGTTCACCAAGTATGACAAGGGCACCTCTGATGTTCCCTCTGTCACAGATCATCCATGCTAGTAGCAACTTTGTTCTCTAACAAGCATTTCACACAGCAAGGGTTATTGGTTGTGTTGTATGTGTTCCTTCCCTACTCCCAACAGCAGAGTAATGGAATTCCACAGAAACCTGGAACAACTCCTGGAGGATATAAGATGGCTATCTTTTGGTTCTAGTTCTAGCATAGCTGCCCAGTCTGCCCTGAATATTAGCTGGAATTCTAAGCCTATCTTACTGGCTTAAAAAATTTTGAACTATCCTTCTCAGTATTGATTGAGGGAATGGAAGATCAAAAAGAGAACGATGCAATGAACCAAGCAGCTGTTTAAATTCTGAATAATCATGCATTTTATATATGTGGCTTTGAAATGTTCATTATAAAAAAATAAACATCTTTAGTCTTTTTAATTTTAGGCTTAAAGCTTTTCTTGTTTTTGTGGGTTCGGGTTTTAGTCAAAGGATCTGGTTTATAGGTTTTCTCCCCATGCTATAGTGCAGTTAAAGTTGTTTTGGACTACTTTCATAGTGTTTGTATCCTAATGCTCTGACATTCATTTTGAAATCTGACAGGACATGTCAGTTGCTAAATGGCAGTAGATATGTAAGCTTGTCTGATGATCTTTTTCTGGGTCAGCCACTCACAATCAACATTCACAAAAGGTCTTGAAGAACCACAGTACTACCAATTGCCTAGTCAATCTATTATTGAAGAAAACTTTTACCATAGTCCTCAGGGAGAAAATGGGATGCACTCAGCTTGGTTAATGACCCTTATAAAATACTTCTTTAAACAGTCAAAATGATCAAGCATGGTTTTTATTCTCTGAAACCAAAAGTCTTTTAAATTACAATAGAAATAGTAATCCCTGCATGATATGAATTGTAAAAAAAAAAAATTACAATAGAAATGGGAGAATGATGTGTGAGGTAATATTATATGTAAAACATACATATCTTTATGAAGTCTTCAAGAATCATTGTCCCACTTGAAGTGGGGATCTGCTGGTTTGTGCTTGTTTTCAGCTCATAGCACCATCACTGGAGGTGTTTATAGACTTACTACCTGTATCCCATCTGTTGGGTCTATTTAGGGGCTAGTCATGTTGGCACTCAGGTTACAAGGTGTTTTTCTTGTGAACCAAAATTGATATTTATTTACTAAATTCCCTCTTATATCCCTGAAAAGAGATTATTCTTTTATGAAAGTGCAAACTTATGACTTTAACAGTACAGAATACAGAACCAAAGGGATTTATACATCAAGTGATTTCTTCTGTATAAAAATGTGTTTTATTTAAAAACAGGGATATTTAAATGTATTATGTGTTACAGCCCTTAATGAAAAACAAGTTTTAAAGTCCTTTTATCTAAAATTCAGTGTAAATAGGTATCCAATCTTAAACCATAGATTCATTGTCATTGCTTTTTTTTTAGTTTAAATGATGTGAAAGCCTTTGTTGTGTTCAAAGGCATCTGTGCCTTTGAATGACATACTCTTAGCAACTTCTTTGCTGATTACCTTGTAATTAGAGTGTGTGCAACTGAGTGACTACAATGTATGTATTGCAAGAATTAGCTTATCATTGCATTTATAATACTTTCATTTGCTAGGAAAGCCTTTGATTTTTCACAGCCTTTTCATGTCCATCATTTAAGAAGTCAGTGTTACAGTTCCATTTTTTTTTCAGAGAGGAAGGCCATCCCATAGGCATAAGGAGAGAGGGTACACTTTACACTCTTGCCTCTTCCCTACAACCTAAAGGGAGAGGAGTTGAGGTAGTAGGGGCAGGACTAGACTTTTTGGTAGTGTCACACTAACACAGATTGGGTAAGAAAGGCCAGTTAGATTTTTTTCAACTTTAAACTGATAAAAATTGAGGCAAAACAATCACCATACCACAACAAACAAAAGTATATCAAAATGTAGTACAGTTATCCCTTGGTATACACAGGGGGTAAATCAGTTCCAGGGCCTTCCGTGTATACCCATATCAGTGCTCATTCAAGTCCTGCAGTCAGCCCTGTGGAATCTGAGCATAGGAAAAGTTGGCCTGCTCTTTATGTGGGTTTCACAGCCTATGAATACTATATTTATATTTTTAATCTGCATTGGATTAAAAAAAATCGACATATAGGTGGACTCATTTAGTTCAAACCCATATTATTCAAGGGTCAACTGTATTTACTTCCAGGTTATAGGATGATTGGGTCAATTACTTTTACTTGGCTACTTAAAACTTTTCTGTATTTTATAAATTTTCCTCAAAGAGCTTTTTTTGCTTTTAATCAGAAAAACATCCCATGCTTGGTAGTTGTTAGAGAGAAGCAAGGGAAGCACAGAGTGAGTACATGGACAGGGCAGATCTGAGAGGCTTGAAGACAAATGAGAATCAAGGCTCATTAAGCAAGACAAAGAGGGAAAACCAGGTTAAGTGAAGGATTAGGCCTCCCTTGTGGGTAGCTGGGTGTGAAGTATGCTTTACATACACTGGGGCTTCTCATTTAGCGCACTGATGGTTTGGGCCAGGTAAGGATAAGAATCTGCTTTGCTTTTTATTCCATCTCAATCCTCATGATGTAGTTGTAGTGGCATTAATACGTTTCACTACAATTTCTTCATACTGTTTTTGTGTCAGTAACCCTTCTGTTATGCTTTTACTTTCTTCAAATTTGGGTAACACAACTGCAATGTAGCCTTCAGTGGATGGCTGGAAAGGAAACAGAATATTTAGTATTGTCAAATGATAAAAATAATTTCATAAAAGATATGTGGATGGGATCATACTTTTTCTTTTTTACCTTTTCTTGAAGAATAGATGGCTTATGGAGAATGTTCTCATTCACTTCCATCAGCCGTCCTCTAACACAACTATTAAAAAAAAAAGAATTATTTTTAAGAAAAATACTACTTCCCTTGTTTCTCCTAAATTGGTAGCTAAAAAGTTACTCACCTAGATATGGTATATTCTTCTCCATCTGAGCAGTAAATCTTACACAGAGGTGCAAGTTCTGTTAGAAACTGTGCCCCCTGTGTAATGAAAGGGAATAAATTACTAATTGATGTACATTTCCACTTTTCTTTGAGAGGCAGCCCTCAGTGTATTAATAGGATATATTCCTGGAACTAGTGGTTTAAATAAAAATGACATAAGTAAATAAAAGCCATTTATTCCAACACATATATAATAAGTGCCTACTATGTGCCAGGTACCGTCATAGACTCTAGGGGAAAAAAACCTAAGACACATGTGATAATAGGTAATTTAGTTACAGACTAATTATTTATATTAAATATATATACATATATATTTTAAGCAAGGCTCATCACTTCAGAACAGACTAATAATATATTTTATCAACTGTAAATGAGAAAGCTACATATAGAGAACTATAAAGATTTCAAAAATGTAGGAAAATTCATCAACAAGCAATAATATAAATTCAACATGACTATGACAGCAATATTTTTTCTTTTTTTCACTCACTCACTCACTCACTGACCCACTCTCTCCTATGACAGCAATATTGTACAAAGCTAGTTTCATTAACATTCCTATGTTATTTTTATATTAGAACTTACTAAAGGAACTCCTTTACCAGGGTCAATCACTAAGACTTTGAAGAAGAAATATTTTCCTAATTTAGAAAAAATATACTTTGAGGAAAATTTGGAAAATACAATAAAGTTTTAAGTCACAAAATAATTTGCCCATTATCCTATAAGCCATTAGTCCATACTACATTTTGACATATATCTGTTTGAATGTTAATTGTTGCTTCATGTACTCCACTAGATGGATGTACCTAGGAAGGTTCTGACAAATATCTACAGGAGCCAATGCAGGGATGTTTCATGTGTTGCCTTTTTTTTTTTTTTTTTTTGAGACAGGGTCTTCCTTTGTTACTGGGGCTAGAGTGCAGTGGTGTGATCATAGCTCACTGCAACCCGACTCCAGGGCTCAAGCCATCCTCCTGCCTCAGCTTGTTAGGTAGCTGGCATGCCACCATGCCTGGCTAATTTTTCTATTTTTTGTAGAGACAGGATCTCACTATGTTGCTCAGGCTGGTGTGTTGCCCTCTTTTTTCCAGGAATTTTTCCTGTAGTGAATAAGTACTTGAGGTTTAGATGCTATTATTTATGATCTCTTAATTTACCACTCAAAACATTATTAGATGACATTTAGATATTATTACATTGGCTTCACTACTCTGTACGTGGGTACTTCATTTCAAAATACCAGAGTCATTGTGACTCCTCACTTTTGGAAGGAGAGATAGGGATTCATCCCGGAGGCTTATTTATAACTGGGTCTGTGTCAAAAGAGCAGAAGTATTTTCACCACTTTTATCACCTTCCTTGGGAGAATAAATAATGAGCAGTTCTCGGATCCAATCAAAACTTATCTGTAGTGGATTCAATATTCAGGTCCCTCTCTGTTCTTCATTAGTAACAACAGTGTTACTATTTTGGACAGAGATTTATCACAGGAATCTCACAAGCATTAACTGTTGTAATTGGTAGACTTTATCTTTTAAGAAAGGTGCATGCTTTTCTAAGCTCATTTGTTTCTTGAGTGAGGAAAATAATTATAAGGCATGTTATTAGGAGACTTCAGGCCTACAAAGGGGAGTTCAAATAAGGGTCTCCTAGAACAGTGAGAGCAATTAGCAGAACCTCTTAACTTATGAACTCAATATTGAGTATGAACTCAATAAAGGACCTAAATCATCCACAGAAACTTTCATAACCAGTGGGGTTGTCAGGACACTTTAATATGTCACTAAATTGTCCTTGGTGTGATTCTGTCTTTTAATAAAATGTCAGTCTTACCTAGAGTTATAGAGGGAGGGCAGAGACAACATTTTGTGTAAATGAGCATTATGTGGAGTACAGGGTGTGGGTAGATATACATTAGATTGGCAATGCTTTACAAATGGAAAAATTGTAAGGAGCAAATACTATATACTTTCTCATATTGATGTTTTTTTCCTACTCTCTCAGGATATTTTTTTTCTGTTTAATTTGTATGCCAAGCTGGGCATGGTGGTGCATGCCTGGAGTCCTAACTATGTGGAGGCTGAGACAGGAGGATCACGTGGGCCCAGGAGTTCAAGGCTGCAGTGAGCTATGATTGTGCCACTGTACTCCAGCCTAGGGTGACAGAGTAAGACCCTGTCTCTAAATAAAAAAAAAAATTTATATGTGAAAATATATGGTAAAGAAAAGTTGTTCACCTAAATTTTATAGAACTTGAGATACTGGTTTAATAAAAGTAGACGGGACAACATATGTTGTTATATTGGTATTACAGTTGTCCTTTCAAAGGCCTGCCTTCCCCCTTCTCCACCCTGGGCATAACAGGGATGGTGGTACAGAACCTAAATAAGCAAATACTGTGCCTCCTAAAGACATACCTCATTTCTTTGGTCTGAGAATTTTTTTAGGGATAAACTATACTTAAAATCAGCACCTCAAACTGTTAGAGAAGTATGCTGAGCATATATTACTGAATTCTGAGAATGACAGTAATTCTATCATGACTATGAATATAGAGGATGAAGTAGATAATCACATAATTACAGGAACATACCCGCTTAAATTTCCCAGAGACCTTGTTCTGAAGTCTGCTACAGTTGGTACTGATCTGATAGGAAATGCTTTTAATTGTTTTTCCACTTTGAAGAACTGGATGAGACCCTGCCAATGTGATGACACATATTCTACAAGGAGAAAAAATTTATTCTGTGTTATTGCTTGATATAATTCTTCCTCCTATAACACAGTACTTCTACTGGCACAAGAATGTACGCACTGATATTTGTTTAGTTAAACTATTACCTTCCCCTTTTTCCTTTGGCTCCTATTGGAGCATAACTGTAGAATGGAGAATGGAATAATAAAAGAGGAGAAACAGTACCAAATTTCCTTCCCAGGAAAGGGAAGAGTACCAGAGGTCTTTAGATAGGTAGCACTTGGAGTAGAAGAGAGAGAAGTAAGGCATGCCTGGGTATGTCCCTCTGTGGGCTCTGGCAGTCAGTGGGTAGGCAGTAGGAAGTAGTTGACTAACGGGGTGGTCCTCCATTTGGAATTTTGGGTAACCAAGTTTATTTGTTCAAAGTAGCACTGGAAGACTCATTCTTGCCAGCCAAACTCCTATAATATCATTTCAGGCAGGGTGTGGTGGCTCACATCTGTAATTCCAGTAGTTTGGGAGGCTGAGGCAGGAGGATCGCTTGAGGCCAGGAGTTCAAGATCAGCCTGGGCAACATAGCAAGACCCTGTCTCTACAAAATACAGAAAACTTAGCCAGGCATGATGGAGCGCGCCTGTAGTCCCAGCTACACAGGAGGCTGAGGCAGGAGGATCACCTGAACCCAGGGGTTTGGTTTGACGTTGCAGTGAACTATGATGATGCCAGGGCACTCTAGCTAGGCTGACAGAGCAAGACTGTCTCAAAAAAAAAAAAACATTAAAAAAGGAATTCAGGTATTCCAGTTCCCCAAGGACACTCTTGTTGTTACATGATGGGGAAGAAAAAAAAAAAAAAAAACACACACACAAAAAAATTTCAACATAGTATAAAATAATTTCATGAAATGTTCACTTAATGAACATTTGTTCAATCCAAGACCATACTAGGGTGAACTAAAATGTCACAGAAAAAAAGAAAAAAAAATTTTTTGATAATTTAAAATTCCCAATTTACTTACCGGTTAGAGTGCTGTAGTATACAGTGGTCCTCACAGGGTTTTCCTTTGACATCTAGAAGAATAAATGAGGCTGTTCGTTGCTGAATCAATATTAACTTCCACTATGTGGTACATTCTTTGGTTCATAGAGACAGTTAATTATGAACATTGGACACTTACATACTCATCACTGGTATACCTTCATTACTCAAAAAGATATACCTAAAGGCTTTTTACAAAGTATTTAGAGAGACCTGGCCCAGACAGAATCATTTATTCAATGTTAAGGTCATTAACTCTTTGCTCCATCTTTATCCTCACTGCAAAATGAGTACAGCCATTATTTCTATTATTAATAGAAAAATGTGATTAGCACTGCATTCTTTATGATATAGTAGTATACTTTTTGTTGATGGTTTCCAGGACTGTCCTGATGGTTAGCACAGAAAGTTCCGAATTCCAGGAAACCCCTCCGTCCTGGGTGAACCAGGAAAGTTGGTCACCCTAAATTTGGCCAACAGAAAATATGCTACCATATTTTTTTAAACAAGTATGCCCATTATCACTGGATGAAAGGAAGAAAGTAGGGTTAGAGGACAGACCCCCATGATGGTACCGCCACTGGTATTTACTGGAACCGCAAAACAGTACAACAGGAATACCTACGTCTAAGTAGTAAATGAATACTGGCGGCTTCTCCTTAAGTAAAACAGTTCTACTTTCCGTTTCTAACCTAACCCGCCCTCTTCTCCATCATTGCTGCCTCTATCTTAGTTTCGATCTGATCATTTAATAATTTTATGTATCGCTACTCCCTGTAGGATTGATCCCTCAAATTCCTCCAGGCACTCAAGGACTGTTGTAGTCCCGACCCCCGCCTACCTCGGGGCCTCAGTTTAGACTAACGTTCTCGGGAGCACCACACACTCGAGCGCGCACAGCACTCGCCAGCCCCTGAACGCGCCCTGCTGTATTTCAGGCCTCCAAGACTTTGCAAATACTACTCCCTCGGCCTAGAAGGGAACGCAGAGGTCCAGTTTTTCCTTCCGTGGGGAGGAAGCGCCGGGGAGAGCATGGGTGGCTATGATCTGTCACCACAGTATCCACAGCATCAAGCCAATGCGGCTGACTAGAGAGCGACATCATTCCGCACTTACCCGCTTTGTACCAGCGAGTGAAGTAACGATCCACGAGCGACGGCACCACCGGCTCCGCGGCTTCAGGCTCGGTAGCCATGGCGACCTCCGGCGCCGCCACCCCAGCCCTCCCGGACCTAAGCGCCTCCTCCCGGACCTAAGCGCTTCCTCCCGGTAGGAAGTGGCTGGGGGTGTCCTTCCGGCGCGCGGCTTGCGTCTTGCGCACGCACGCTGCTCCCTGCCCCGCAGCTCCGCCTACAGCTGCCAATCACTGGGGTCCCACGTCAAAGCAGGGATCAAATACAACGGGTAGGCAGGAGGGCGGAGGGACAGGGGGTGGTGGCCGGCGCAGCTCCTCCACTTCTGCCTTGCTAGTCCTTCAGAGAAGGCTGGCCCCCGCAAGCAGCTAGGAAACGCCCCCTGTATAGCCACGCCCCCGCCTCGTGACGACACTCCCGCGCCGCTGGGCTAGTGTGTGGTTCGCTTCTGCGTTCCTCAGCAGTGCCTCAGCCGCACCTCGGCTTTGGCCCTCCGGGGTCGCGCGGGTCTACCCTCCCGAGGCCTAGTGCGCGCCTTGAGAGTGCAGGAGCCGCCGACAGCGAGACGCGTACGCAATCCGGGGCGAGCTCTGGGAAGCCGGCCGCGCGTGGCAGGGGAGGCAGGGGCGGACCGCTATTTGGGGGTCCTCCGAGCGCGGCGCAGGTGAGCGGTCAGGCGATCCGGGCACGGGACTGGGCCCTGTCCCCCCAGGGGTGTTCTGGTGTAGGAGACCCCGAGGCATCTCTGCCTGCTGCGGTCCGAGGAGTGGAGTGCGGCGTGCAGCACCTCTTTCCTAGAGCCTTACATTCTCTTTTCTGCGGTCTTGCCACCTGCTCCATCCGGGGGCGCGGCAGCCCGGAGTTAACGTGTTGCTCCTCCAGCTGCACCTAACCCAGCCTCCGTATTCCTTGCAGAGGGTGAATAATACCACTGAAATCGAATGAATTATTCCACGGTGGAAGGCGACGGTTAATGGAGGTTCGGGTGCTGTGTTGTGGGTCTCTTCTCTCATCTGCGACTTTTTCGTGGAGCTGGTGTTCCCTGTGCTTATCCATCTAATGTGGTGTTATATGTGGCTTTCCCTCCCGTTAACTGTGATTTCCGTGGAGGCAGTGACTGAATAATCTCTTATCTTCAGATCCTAGCACTTAGCAAGCGCTCAATCGGTGTTTCATGTAGGCCACGAAACGGATGGTAGGATAAGGTAACTACGTAAAGGATTCAACTGTATATTGACAGCCACAGTTCAGTGAAAAAAAGTGAGCAAAAAGGAGGCAAAGACAGTTTTCAGCTTGGGGACAGAGTAGAAATGCCATATCCCCAAATAGGGCACAGTCATTTAGTGGAAGAATACTGAGTTCTTCGTTTTCCAGGTTGCATTTGATGAGCTTGTGAGAGATGCTTATGATAACATCAGGAGGTTGAAAATGTGGGCTTAGTGTTCACTTTGGGCTAATTAAGTCAGGGCTAGACATTTCAATCTAATTGGTGTATTAGTGATTTGCTTGATACATGTAGTCATGGGCATGATGATTAGCCAAGAGTAGATAGTTGAAGTGGCAAGGGAAGAAAATAGAGGAGTTGTCAGAAAACTAGGAGAGGATTCAGGATTGACCTGTGGTGTAGAGTGATCTCTAGCACATTTAAGGTCTGGGAAAAGTTGAATCAGTGGAGAGAGGGGAGTTAGAAATTGCAGATGTCAAAGAAAGAGTATTAATAGGCCTGAGAGAGTCTAGAGGATATTCCTTTCCTAACCTTGAAAGGAGTGGGGACATACAAGGCTTCCTCTGAGGAGATAAGGGAACAAGGATGATTGGTGTGAAAATTCAGAGAAGTTGGTTTTGAGGCTAAGGTGATAGGAATGGGAAGTAGATGACTGAGCTCCCCTTGGCGATGAACTTGGTAATATTGAAAGCTCGGTGATTTGAGAACTCAGGTTGGTTGCTGTATTTGTCAGTTAGGGTCCAGTCGGAAAAGTAGAAACCATACAGTATTCCAGCAGAGAGGATTTAACATAAAGAATTGGTTAAATAGCTATTAGAGAAACAAAAAGTAAAAACAGTGAAGTGGCATAGAAGGTAAACTGAAGGAAGCAGTTACAACACTTAGCTAGGGCTGAGGGTCAAAACAAGGGAAGATGTTGGGATTATCAAGACCTAAATCTTGGAGAAGAGGCACTGTGAAGCCTGACTCAGACTTCTGGTGTTGATGTCTCAGGAATTCAGAGGATGAGACCCGAGGAGCTGGATTTCAGCTGTCCAGTGGGGCCCCTGCCTGAGTGGTGCTGGTACCTCTGGCTGGGGGGCGGGGGGTGAGGCCGGTCCTGGGAGTGCTAGATATTGGCCTGTTGCTAGGGTGACAGGAACAGCAAGAAAACAGGGAAAAGTGAGTCCTCTACTTTTGCCTTTACCCTCCCTCCCACTTGCTTATCTTGAGGTCCATGGATCCCAGGGCTCCACAGACTTGGATAAACAGAATCCAAGTTCACAGGGAGGGATGTGGAGACATGATGATCTGATCAGGGCAACAGTAACAGCATGATTATTACTAGATAAACCAATGTGAAAAACAGCTAGGAAATTCTGCACAGCTGGCTCCTGTTTCTGTCCTCGCTTCTTGCTAATCTATCCCTTGCTTACTCCCCCTAGCCAGTTGTGCCGGGTATTCTCTCATCTCATATTTACCTATCCTTTCAGATTTATGTCAGTGGGCATTTTTATGATGTTTAAAAATGAAAGATATAATTTTTATATGCTTTGAAAAACCCAAGCTGTATATATAGAATCAGATTTAACTTAAAAACCTGCATGATATGATACAGGTTCCAACAATTCCTGGAAGTTCTTGAATGTAAATGTCACCCAACACTTACTGAAACCATTGTCTGCCTTGATTCTCTTCCTTCCTTCCACCATATATGATCTTGCCTTCCTGTTAACTCACATTATATGTTGTAGGATTCCTATTACAATTCACATTATCTGCTGTGGACTATAAGGATTGATTCATCTTTATTCTTTCAATGTCATGTATATGAAATGCCAAGATGAGAGAATTCACCTC